TTAAAAACCCCTAATTTGCTAATAAAGTGCAGAGAACTCAGGAACGTGGCCCATTTCTTTGAAAGTTAGTAGCAGAGCCAAGATAAAAGCATACCCTTAAATATCGAGACAACTTTTATTTATATAATGTCAATTACCGTAACACCTGTTTAGCCTACTGAACCATGCTGCCCTTCAAATGCCCCTCTGAAGCCGCCAGGAGTAGGGTCAGCCAGCAAGCCTGTGAGGGAAAGCAAGTGAAATAACAAGAGGAAATGTCTGAGAGTCCCTAAGGGTAAAAGAAAAGACAAATGTTGGTATCTTAATTCTTCCAAACCTAAGTAGTTTGTCTCATTGTAGCAGAGCCATTCTACTAATGGGAACACCAGAGTTTTTGAAGAATTAAAAAAAGATACAGCTGTCTCTTAGGATTCACTGAGTTAATGGCTGGCAAAGAAAAGCTAAAATCTAAATGTTTTAGGCATTGCCAAGTTGCACTGTACAATTTGCCTCAAGATAATGGAAACAAACATTCAAAGTGCTTTTTACTCTCTTGGAAGTAAACATGATAGGAAGCATGCAACAGACTGAAGAGTCTGAGAGGAAAATGAGGTGGGGGGGGGGGGGGAGAAATTGACCAAAGAACTTACCATAGATGCATAACTCATGGACATAGACAATAGTGCAGTGAAGGCCTGGGGAAGGGGCAGGATTGGGCAAGAGAGGGTCAATAGAGGGAGGGTATCTGAAATACTTTCAAAGGTATAGATGATTTTTTTAAAAATAATTATGGTTTCAAGGTTGTACTAAAAGTTGCAAGGCTATGTTTAAAATGTAAAATGCATAAAACGGCAGATATGTATTTTAATGCTTATGTAATAAGTGGCATTCTTTGTTACTAAAGAAGTTCAATGACTTTGTCCTAAGCTAAAGTTTCTATAAAAATGTGTTGTTAAGTAAATACGAATGTAAAACAGCGTTCATGGCATAAGTCAGCGATTTTCAACTTTTTCATCTCATGCATGGTACACATGAACTAAATACTAAAATTCTGCAGCACGCCAAAAAAATACATTATTTTTTGCCAACCTGACAATTAAACGTAGACATAATTTTGATTCATTCATACTAGACAACTGTTGTTGTGTTGACTATTTTTTTTATTGAATATATTTGGAAGACATTGGTTAATAAAATTATATGAGTTTCAGGGATACAATTATACAATATGTCATATTGTATGTTGTATTGTGTGTTCACCACCCAAAGTCACATTTCCTTCCATCACCATTTTTACCCCTTTTACTTTGTTCTACCTCTCCTCACCCCCTTTTCCTTCTGATAATCACCATACTGTCTTTTTTTTTTTATTTGACAGTATAAGGGAAAAGTGGTAATGCCCCTGACTAAATAGGTATTGCTTTAGTAGACTAAGAATAACCACTAGTAGCAAAAAAATCAAAGAAACTCAGAATTTCAGCTAAAAGATTATCTATCAATAGTACAGTCTGACCTCTTTAATTAACAGACCGGAAAGCTGAGGCCTACAAACTTACTCACAGCCAATAGCAATATTACCATGATTAGAAGTTTGCAACATTTTAGAGTTAACATTTAATAAAATTCATTGGTTCTAATAAAAAAAACTCACAACAGCCAAAACCGGTTTGTCTCAGTGGATAGAGTGTCGGCTTGTGGACTGAAGGTTCAATTCCTGTCGGGGGCATGTACCTTGGTTGCAAGCACATCCCTAGTGATGGCTGGGCAGGGGGCAGCTGGTTGGTGTTTCTCTCTATCGATGTTTCTAACTCTTCCTCACCCTTCCTCTCTGTGAAGAATCAATAAAATATATTTTTAAAAAACAAACATACACACAACATACCAGACTTCCATTGCATTTGAATAAAATATTTTAGAAATCATTCATTATAAATTCTCATAAATATTTGCATCCTAAATGCTTTCTGCAGTGCCTGGTTGACACATAAAATAGGCACCAAGTTTTGTTTTTGTTTTTAATGAGCAATGTAATCATTATAGCTTTAAGGTTGAAGTAATTTTTAGATTATTACATGGTAATTTTTAAGTATTTAAAGGTTCCTATGCTCGGAACTATTTGATATCATATCTAGCAATAATATTAGGCTCTGATTACCATGTGGCTTTTGAAGAAATCTTTTTTTTTAAATTTTAATTGCTCCAGCTTTGGAAATCTATAGAACTCTACTGAAGAGTTAATATTTTGAAAATAAATAAAATAAGAGAGTGGTACGCAAAGAAAATTATTTACCAAAAATTGAAATAAGTGGAAAACATTCCCTTATTTGGGAAATGTCTTTTAATAGAAGCCTGATGATTCCGTTAAAATGCACAGAAGATAGTTACTGTAAGTGTTTATAGGATAGTGTTTGAAAAGTTTCTATTTTCTCTTAAGAAAAATGTAGTTATATCCATTTTGTATTTTATTTTATAAGTTCATGTTATACTTTGAAGTCTAATTCAATCTCATTTTCTTTTCTTTTGTATAATTACTGCTAACTTTTTTTTAAAATGCTACATATTTCAAAGGGAAATAATGTTTAAAAGATGTGAAACATTTAATCCTTGAATGCTGGAACCACTTTTAAAGTATCATAAGCACATCTGTAATACATTACACAGGGAAAAGAATGTATGTGTTCTGTGGCCTATGGGCACTAGGGTGGCTGGTTTAGGAAAACTGAGTATTTTGCCTTTTGAGTTTTAACAACAACAAAAAAAATTCTGATTCTAAAATGAAGAACTTAATCTCAGGGGTGAGGTTTGTGGTCAGGCAAACGTTGTCAAGTTTTGATTTTACATTTGCTCTCTCACGTGTCATCTACTTCTTAAAAAGAAATGAGTTTTTTACAGTGGGTTTGCCTTTGCATTCTACTTTGTTAAGTACTTTTGTTTTCCCTCATTTGATAACTAGACATGGGACAAACTTAGAAAAAAGAAATCACTATACCAGGAGTCTCAGTCAGCTGCAGGTTATGAAGTAAATAATGTGTTACTAATTAAGAATTAGCAAGGTTTGCCAAAACTGGTTTGGCTCAGTGGAAAGAGTGTCCGCCTGCGGACTGAAAGGTCCCAGGTTCGATTCCAGTCAAGGGCATGTACCTTGGTTGCGGGCACATCCCCGGTGGGGGGTGTGCAGGAGGCAGCGGGTCAATGTTTCTCTCTCATCGATGTTTCTAACTCTCTATCCCTCTAAATTCCTCTCTGTGTAAAATCAATAAAATATATATTTTTTAAAAATAGCAAGGTTTGTGAAGGATTTACTCTTAAAACAAAACTTCAGCAGATTTAAGTGTATCCTGGTGATACCTGCACGCTAGATCACTTGTATCCCATTATGCTTTCTGGGGTGGGAGGGGCATCCACCCTGCTGTCAGGCTGGGCATCCCATGGGATGTGTGTTGTGTACGTGAATATTATCTGTCATTGGTGGAGCTGGGGAGAAAAGTTAGACAACTTCTGTGCTGCTTTGGTGGACATGTTCTCCACTATTTTCTCTTTGACGTGACCTGATATTCACATGCCAGCTGAAATCCCACCCCTTTTGCTCCTATTCCAGAAAGCAGGCAAGGTAGCATGTTAGGGGAATGCATCTATAACCAACTCACATTTCTTTAAGTAATGGCATGAGAATTTCATATCTTAAGAAATATGAGCATCAAATAACCTGAAATACATTTGACAGCTATGTCATATATATACCATGGCTAATAAACTCCATATTTCTTAAATTTTGTGTTTTTGTCTCATTCAGAAAACTAAATCTGATTTTTAAATTTTTTTTTTAAATAAAGGAAAGTCATATTTAATTGTATGGCAATGTAAATTCTAGAAGCTATCATTGGAATGAACTTGAAAATAAAAATCTTTATTGTTTAAAGTATTACATGAGTCTCCTCCCCACTTCCCCGCCACCCCCTCCCAGCACAAACCTTCACCCCCCTGCTGTCAGTGTCTTGGTTATGCTCATGCATGCATGCATACAAGTCCTTTGGTTGATCTCTTAACCTCTCACCCCCCATCTTCCTTCATAGGTTGTACAGTCTGTTCATGCTTCTATGTCTCTGGTTCTATTTATGTTCATCAATTTATGCTGTTCATTATATTCCACAAATGAGTGATATTTATCTTTCTCTGACTGGCTTATTTCGCTTAGCATAATGCTCTCTAATTCCATCCATGCTGTTGCAAATGCTAAGATTTCCTTCTTTTACAGCAGTGTAGAATTCCATTGTGTAGATGTAACACAGTTTTCTAATCCACTTTACAGAAGTATTTTGTAGACAGTTATTTACTGATATATATTAATAGAATTTATCATAGAAGGCTGTTTGTTTTTCCTTTAAGGCTTAAACTAAGTTGTTTTTTTGTTTGTTTGTTTTTTAGGGGGGTTAGATAGTCATTGTTTTATCCAAGCTAATTTTATGATACATAATATGTAGATATTATGTTAAAGTTAGTCTTTATTCCTTACTTGATATAAAAGTTAATGACTTATTCTAGAATTTTCCTAATGTCTTTTTATTTGATATGCTTTTGATTTAGCTTTAGAACCTTCATAATAGCTCTTTTGCCTGTTTTTTTTTTTTAATATATATGTTTTATTGATTTTGTACAGAGAGGAAGGGAGAGAGATAGAGTGTTAGAAACATCGATGAGAGAGAGTAATCGATCAGCTGCCTCCTGCACACCCCCCACTGGGGATATGCCCGCAACCAAGGTACATGACCTTGACCGGAATCGAACCCGGGACCCTTCAGTCCCCAAGCCGATGCTCCATCCATTGAGCCAAACCGGTCCCGGCGCCTGTTTTTTATTTAATATTAAATTTACTATATTATAAGAAAATACTGGGTTAACGTTAATTTTTTTTAATGTAAGGAACTCTGATATTTTTTTTAATGTAAGGAACTCTGATGTATTTTATTTATGAATAATTTTTAATATTGAGAGCATTTTCTTGTTTTGCTTTTTATTATAAGATATTATGAGCTGGATCCTCACAAGAGTCTCCTTGACAATTTGAGGGACAAAGTGATCATTGAATACCCAACATTACACGTGGTATTAAAAGAATCCAGTAAAGACATGAACATTCTTCACGAAGGTAAGTATCAATTTGTTCTTGTAATGTTCAGAATAACTAGTGAAACTGAAGCAATAGGGCTATCTGTATTACCTTAATGTGTGTTTTCCACGTAGGTTTATATAGGATTGCTCTATAGCTGCAGTTACTACTGTAAGTGACGAATGAGTTGCTCCTTCTGTCTGGTTTGAGAGAATGTAAGCTATCAATTTAAAATGTCTGAACCAGCTTAAATGCCTGGCTATAAAAGGATGCGATGAGTTCTATGTGTTTTTGTCTTCTTTAAAGCTAATGGTCTAGAAGTAACAGTTTGTCATGATCAGAAAAATTTACTTCCTAGTTAAAACTTTTTTTTTTTTTTTTTTTTAGAAATTCCTAAAATGAGGAATGCAAAATCATTTTTAATATCCCACCATATAGAAAGAGAAGTGTTGCAAAGAATATTAGTTTCAAATTTGGGCTGCATTTAGAAAATGTGCCATCAGGGTCAAGTGCCATTGTCTTGACCCTTTATCTCCTTTTATTTTATTTTCATTTTTTAAATAAAATATTTTTATTGATTTCAGAGAAGAAAAGAGAGATAGAAGCAGCAGTGATGAGAGAGAATAATTGTTCTGGCTGTCTCCTGCACACCCCACAATGGGGATGGAGCCCACACCCGGAGCATATACCCTGACCGGGAATCTCACTGTGACCTCCTGATTCATAGGTTGACGCTCAAACACTGAGCCATGCCAGCTGGGCTCCTTTTATTTTTGAACCCACTGTTCTTTGTTTTCTTTAATTTTGTTTCCTTGCATATGAGTAATTTTTTTTTTTTTTTTTAAGAAGATACTTTTTTTCTCCCTTTGGTGAGTAGTGGAGTTGGGAGGAAGTATTCGAACTGGAAGTGGTATATACAAAAGTTTAGTGTAAAAATGACATCCATATTTGCAAGAAATGATTAAAGTAAGCTAATTATGTTTCTGAGTACAGATTAGAAAGGGTGAATAAAATCCTGAAATTCCTTTTAAAAAGGGAGAGGGGTTACTTACCTTAACTCAAAACCATTAGATACCATTTTCGGTTAAGAATTATAGGTCCAGGCCAAGTTTCACTGTAACAAACTCCAGGTTACCGTAAAGTCCTTGGATTGGATTGAACTCTGTTGTTTAAGATAATGTTACCTTATTGACTGTAACAGGAAGTAACCTTTACTATAAGGTCTTCTCTGGAAGTGTGTGTGTGTGTGTGTGTGTGTGTGTGTGTGTGTGTGTATAATGGCTTTTATTCTTGGGAAAGTTAATGGGGGGAGCGAGCGGGAGCGGGGGGGGCGGGGGGGGAATTTCCCAAGTGGCAAAATTTTGTCAGTTCTACAATTTGAAACTCTATTTTTAATTAGCAAATTTGAAGTTTCTAATAATCAATTATGGATTTCTAAATCTTAAGGTTAATTCTTTTTTATATATTTTACAGTTTGAAAATAGCTGTGTGATTTTTTTCCTCAAATTAAATTAGAAATTTTACTTTTAAATGACCAGTTTTACTTTTTTTTTTTTTTTTTTTTGAAGTTGTATAAAACCTTGCTTTTTCCTTAATATAATTCACATAGCTCTCTCTCTAAATGTTGGTTTCAGGGAAAGTTGTTTAGTAATGTGGGTTACTAGCCAGGGCAAACATTGTCTGTGTAAATAAACATGCACACACAGCACCTCTTTTACCTTGTTTAGGAATGCACATTGAAGTAAGGCTTCCTGTAATGAAGCAAAAAGAAAAGCTACATTTATAGTGCACTTGGAGCCTTCTTAAGAAACATTTGCTCCTTTTTGGTAGGTGTTTGATGTTTGACTTATCTACAGGAAGCAGAGTGACTCGTGCTTTCGGTATAGAGGATAGTTTAGAGCTGTTCTAGCAAAGAACTAAGGAGGATCCGACAGGATTTGAAGGACCATACCAATGTTGTCATATCATAAGTACACATATTTTAAAAAACAATGCAGGCCTTCCTGTACCTGCATTTCTTTGTATAAGCACTTCAAGGTGCCTGGTTGTTGTTGTTTTTGTATCTTCTCAAATCATTGGATATTCTTCAGGGTGGTCCCTTAATCCAGAAGAAGGGTTATATAAAAATAGGGCATTTTCTTTGGAAAGCCTTGAAATTCTTTCTCCAAAGCCAAAAACTTGAATTTTTAATCTTTAGTTCATAGCACAAGGTGTCTCTCTTCTAGTTTTGGTAAAATGTGTTTCTGGGCTTGGATTCAGTAGTTTTCACAGTTGATGGTTGTTATAATGTTTGTTATTGTAAATTGCTTTAATTTACTTTATCCTAAGTTTCCCTGTATTGATGAGCAAAAGGGCAAGTTTTGTTGGTTTGTTTGCTTTTTGCTTTTTAAGGAATGAAAAAGGTTGACTGTTAAAGTTTTAGCAGTTAAGGTAGCCCACTAGATTGGAGATGTAGAGTGCTAATCACCCATCTCAGTTCAATCCAGTATGAAGTGATCAGAATAGTGTTACTTGCTTCACAGGTCTTTGTTTGCCAAAATTAACTGGTAGATCAAATGACTTGACAAAAGCATGCTACATTTCAGTCAAAGGAAAAAGAATGGCGCTTTATTAAAAGAAAGCAACTGGGCAACTTCAGTAAGCAAGGAAAGGGGGAAAGTTCTAAAATTGCAATGCCAAAAAGTACAAAGCCCATTAATTTAAAAAGACCAGCAGAATATATTTCTCTGTTATTCTAAGATAACTCAAAATTAGAAAATGCCTCTGCCTTAGAGAAGGAATCCAACCCAAAATTGATTACTTGAATTAGTGAAAATACCTGGCATAGCAGCTGCCCATACATCAGTCTGTTGTCGGGCCAATGAATCCTTTCATCCATTTTCCTTCTCTTTCCTCCCCTTATTTCTCCTTTTCCTTCTTTCTCTTCCTTTCTCTTTCAGAGTGTGTGTGAGCTAATGGGTAGATCTCAGGAACACAGATGTAAACTTTACAGTTCAATAGGTGCTAAGTCGAGTTTGCATTAAGTGCAGAGAAAGCCAGAAGAGACAACAACTTGTAATATGGAGACACTTGAAAGACTCTGCTACAGTTTATAAAATTCCACAAGGATGGATGCATATTTTGGATGGAAGCTACTTCAAGGCCTTACTCATAAACACCAGTTTGGTTGCTGGTACAATCTTAAATCTAGGTACTATTGGCATACCTCAAAGAACTTGACAACTGGAATATGTGGCTAGATCCAGGTTTATGATTCTAGCACCAGCTCTTATTAGCTTTGGGCCCTTGAGCATTTACTCTGCCTCTCTGAGCTCTATTTTTCTTATTAACACAGTGGAGATAAATGGCTATAAGCCTCAAGCAAAATAATCTCTATTTTAACCTTAATTGTTTTTTTATATATTATTTCCTTTTAGCTTCACCATACAATGAAGTTAGAGCAATCACTCTGGATCCCATTTTGCAGATCAAAAAAAAACCTAATTATAAGAGAGATTTAAATTAAAATAATTTTATACCTGCCAAAATGGCTGTCATCAATAAATCAACAAACAACAAGTACTGGCAAGGATCTGGAGAAAAGGGAACCCTCGTGCACTGCTGATGGGAATGCAGGCTGGTACAGCCACTGTAGAAAACAGCATGGAGTTTCCTCAAAAAAATTAAAAATGAAAATTACCTTTGACCTAGTATTCTCACTTCTGGGAATATATCCTAAGAAATCTAAAATAATATATGCATCCCTATGTTCACTGTAGCATTATTTACAATAGCCAAGATTTGGAATTAGCCCAAGTGTCCATCAGTAGATGAATGGATAAAAGTATTGTGGTACATTCACACAATAGAAGAGTACTCACCTGTAAAAAAAAAAAAAAAAGAAAAAAGAAAGAAAGAAAGAAAAGGAAAGGGAATCTTACCTTTTTGCAGCAGTATGGATAACCTGGAGAATATTATGCTTAGTGAAATAAGCCATTCAGAAAAAGACAAATACCCTATGTTTAGTGAAATAAGCCAGTCAGAAAAAAGATTATATATATCATCTAATAATCAAAATAAACTGACAAAATAGAAACAGAGGCATGGAACAGACTGACAGATGTCAAAGGGAAGGGAGTTGGGAACTGGATGAAAGAAAGTGAAGGGATTACCAGAAAACATATATACATAACACATAGACACAGATAACAGTGTGGTGATAGCCAGAGGGAGAGGGGGGTGGGAGGGTAGGTGGAGGTGGGCAAAGGGCTGGGTAATGTGGATGGAATGGGACCTGCTTGGGGCGATGGGTGCACGATGCAATGTGCAGATGATGTTTTATTGGGTTGTGCACTTGAAACCTGTATGGTTTTGTCAATCAATGCCACCCCAACAAGTTCAGTCCTAATATATAAAATCCCAGGGTCCGTAACATCCCAAACGACTAAAGGCTCGACCAACTGGAAGTCAGTGCTGGGTCGCAACCCATCACTGACTGCTGAGGGGGCTGCAGATCAGGCCCAAATTGAAGCCTGGAGAGAGAAGCAGGGTCTGACTATAGCCTCTGTGGCAGCTGTTGATCAGCCCTTGCCTCTCTCTTTCTCTTGGGGCCTGGCCAGCAGCCAAGCTCCTTTTTCTTTTGGATTTACCCTCTGCTGGGCTGCTGATCAGCCATTAATAGGCCTGGAGACGCTGACTGGCATAGAAACCAACCAATCAGAACCAAATCTGGGTGAAGGGCAAGGAGCCAATGGCTGCCTAGAAGGCAGAGCTTTTAATGCTGACTGGCATAGAAACTGACCAGTCAGAACGTAATCTGGGCGAACTGCAAAGGCAGAACCTAAGGTGGGGGCTAAGGAGGGGTTTTAAGGGCAACAGCTGTTGGTACAAGGTGTAAGAAAGCGGTTCAATTTTTTAATGACCAGTTTGGCAACATAGTGCATATTGCTAGCTATCAGTCCAGATATAAGCAATCCTCTTATATAATCTATACTATTTTTTTTAAATCAATAGTAGGGATCCTGTTTGTTCCCTTAAGTATTTTTATTTATTTATTTATTTATTTATTTATTTATTTATTTATTTTTAAATATATTTTTTATTGATTTTTGTACAGAGAAGAAGGGCGAGAGATAGAGAGTTAGAAACATCGATGAGAGAGAGTCATCGATCAGCTGCCTCTTGCACACCCACTACTGGGGATATGCCCACAACCAAGGTATATGCCCTTGACCGGAATCAAACCCGGGACCTTTCAGTCCCCAAGCCAATGCTCTATCCATTGAGCCAAACCAGTTTCGGCTAATCTATAATATTAATAGGGTTATATACTAATTAGACCAGGTCAACTGGCCATCTTCCAAATGTCCAACTTCCTTCCAGACAAAGCCATGGTGATGGGGGCCAAGGCAGAGGCCATTGGGGGTGATCAGGATGTCACATTCCCAGTAGGAGGTGTGCAGGAGGCAGCTGATCAATGTTTCTAACTCTATCCCTCTCCCTTTCTGTAAAAAACAAACAATAAAATATATTAAAAAAAAGAAAACAGATAAAATTGGATATTGGTGATACCCATTTTTAGTTTGTATTTGGAATAAGTTTTAGACCTCAGTTGGGGTGAGATGAGGATGGCAGGGGAGGACAGTTAGGGGCAATCAGGCAGACAGATGCCATTAGGGGCGATCAGGCAGGCAGGCAGGTGAGCGGTTAGGAGCCAGCGGTCGCAGATAGCAAGAGAGATGTCTGACCGCCAGTGGGACAAAGGGTCTCCAATTGGAGAGGATGCAGGCTGGGCTGAGGGAACCTCCACCCCCCGTGCACAAAAATCATGCACTGGGCCACTAGTAAAAAATAAGTAAAATTCTGAGTCTTCAAAAACAAAACTGGAAAACTTGCATTTATATTGATACTGCAAATGTGCTACACCAAGGGAATAGATATAGGGAGGAAAGGTGCTCCTATATCCTTATGTTTAGTGAGTGATCATAGACTTGCTTGCTCTAGTCGAGGCAGCTCCTTTAAAGAAACGCCATTTCTGCTCTGAGTCGTCTTTCTTGTGAAAGGAAGAACATGGCAATTAGCTAGTCTTCTGTCAGCCCACATTCACTCAACGTATACTGCCCCTCAATTTTAAGTTTAAAAAATATGGAAAAATTTATTCCAAACCACACTTGGCTAGCCTATGTGATAATCGCAATCTATTCTGTGGTATGAGTGTGGTATCCTAACCACACTGTGAAGTGACCATTCCCAAGTCTTACACACAGTCAGGAAGGATGTTACCTCACAAAATATAATTGCCACTTTTAGACATCATTTCTCTATTTACTGTGGCCAGAATTGTATATCCCTGCTGCCTGGGACATGACATGGTTTGTCTACCCCTATGAACAGTGCTATTGGTATGCATCAGAAAGGAGAAAAGGAAAAAACAGAACAGGCTAAATAGAAACAGCATAAATATTTGACTGTATGTTTATTTATTTATTTATTTATTTTTCAGTGAAAAGTGAATCTACCAAGAACATTGGCAATGAAAATTGAGCACTTCTGGAGGAAGGAAATCCCAGGTTGCAGAGGACAATGATTGACTAACTACTGTTGGGGTGTATTGTCAATGAATTTGTGCAATTTTTTTGTTTTTCTGAAAAGTAAACAGTCTAATTTTTTTTTTTTTAAAGATGTGTTTTCCAGCCTCTTGAATTGACTTATGAGCCCTTATTCCTATTAACAACCCCTCTTTTGCACCTGGTTGACGTCGTGCTTATTTTAATTAGATCCTGGCTTTTAGTATGTTCAGTTACATACTAAAACATTTTCTGATTTGATACAAGGCCATACTCAAGGATCACCTGTGCCATCCACAAAGATGTCAAAAGACCGTGTGACATACCAGCGAACCACCAGTTGCCCATTCTTACCTTTGATATTTATGTAACTTACCCTCTTGAGATAAATGAATGGGTCTTTTATACTTGGTAGCACCCAGTAGTATGTCCTATATAAAGGCTGAAAAAATACATTTAGCTACTATTTCTTATATTCAGTCAGAAAATTAGCAACGCCACATCATTGTTTGAACCATCAATGCTCACAAATTTGGCAGCACTTGTTCTCACAGTGAGCTGTGTCTTATGAATTCTGTGCCTTTTATCTCATTTTCATTCCACTCTTGTCATTGCCATATATGGGTGTGATGACCAGTTTGAGGCTGTGTTTTGAAACATCCAGTAATAACTGAAGGAAAAACACTTGGAACTCTTTAGTGCTGTTGAAATGTATATGTGTATGTATGATATACCTAGCTTAATTTATACCTTATGGCAGCTCTGTGTACATTATGATCACATAATGAAATTAAATGTTCCTAGTTTTATTGGAATTCATACAGTTATGAAATTGCAGCATGACTATAAAAGAGTAAAAGATTATTACAACTGTGTTGCATCTGTGTACTTAATGATTAAGAGAAAAAAAAAAAGAAAAGAAAAAAAAAAAGATAGCCCTAACCAGTTTGGCTCAGTGAATAGAGCGTTGGCCTACAGACTGAAGGGTCCCAGGTTCGATTTCGTTCAAGGGCATGTACCTTGGTTGTGAGCACATTCCCAGTAGGAGGTGTGCAGGAGGCAGCTGATCAATGTTTCTAACTCTATCCCTCTCCCTCTCTGTAAAAAACAAACAAACAATAAAATATATTTAAAAAAAAAAAAAAGAAAACAGATAAAATTGGATATTGGTGATACCCATTTTTAATTTGTATAATATTTGGAATAAGTTTTAGACCAAATGGAAACCAAAAGCATTAATTAAAGAGATTTGAAAAGATTAGAAATATGAAAAAATATATAATGAGGTGAGCCTACAAGAAACTTGTAGAACACAAATATATAAAACTTGTGGTAGAAATTGTGAAAGAGAGTCCAAAGATAGTAATGCCACGATGACCAGTTGGTGTAAAATTGTGGAAATGGGATTTATAGGAAATAAGTTATTGCAATCTGAAATACAAATACTTTCTAAAGCAACTTCAGGAATCTTCTCCCTCATTCAGTAAAAAATTTCTTTAGAATTATGTCATTCACAATACTGCTTGGGAGACAATTATATGGCATTTCATATTTAATCTAAAAGGGAAATGTGTCTTCTTGAAACAGGCAAGAAATAGAATGAATTGAATCAAAAGTATGAATAGATGAATAGAATTGTTTTTGGGGAAAGTGGGGTGAGGTGCATAAATGAACATGTGATTTGAATATCAGGGTGGAGAGGAATTTCCTGACAATGAAATCTGTTATGATGTAGTCTCATTTACAAAAGAAGTGCTGAGTTTCATCTCTTTTAGAATTTGAAATGAAAACTGGACAAAAACCAAAGAATTTATCCTGTGTTTTCCCCTTGCCCAGAAGGCAAAAGAAAGGGGGGAAATCTGCATGATGTAATAATGCATATTTGCCATTTCTATAGAATTGTCCTAACCTTTTCAATTATAGACTATGCCTTAGGAAAGAACTTAACTAGCACAGTTCCCTTAAATGAACTATCAGCTCATGTGAGTAATATGCACTTTATTCCCATAGGATTTACAGTAAACATGTGTTTTAGTGAATAACCATGTCAACTATTTGGAAGGGGTGAAAGTGGAATAAATGAGGGCCCTAGAAGTTTGTAGTATTTACACACAATTCCTTTTTTTAGAGTCCCTCTCCATTTTGAATTCTTAACAAATTCTGATGCATAAACAAAATTCCCTGACCCATGTTAAGTGCAACATCCTGCATTTTGTTCATGACTCACATTTTAATGGGAGTAAAGCTCCACCTGGCCTTCCTTATTTTTTAAACAATGATTTCAAAGGGACGGTAGGCCTTTCATAATTGCTAATTATTATATATGGGATTATTAGCCATAAATTACTGTAAACAAATCTTGCACCTGTTCATATTATAAATATAAATTAAAGAGAATTACTATCATTTAACTCTATAACTTAAATATAATTTAAATTTAACTATGTAATTTAAATATCAAGATATTTAAGAATACAAAGTGTAGTTGAGCCAATTTGTTTCCCTGTAGCAAGTGGTGGGATTTAGGCTTCATGATGTAGAGTAAATCATTAAACACATAACTGTAATGCCAAAAACTTCCTTTACATATTTTGTTTAATTTGGTTGACATATACAAGATACCTAGTTTGCTTTTATTTAATCACACACCACTGCATTAAACTGTGTTGAATTTATTCTGAGGTAGATATTGTGCACTTTTGATTATTAACCAATTGTCTCTCAGAAATTCAGTTCAAACTAGTGTCAACCTGAAGGGCAATCGGTTTATTCTAATCTAGAGGCCTGGTACATGAAAATTCATGCACTGGAGCGGGGGTTCCTCAGCCCAGCCTGCCCCCCTCACAGTCCAGGAGCCCTCAGGGGCAGGAGGCGACCCAGCGATCAGGGGAAGGTGACGCCCTATCACACCTCTGCTGCTACCACTGCCACTGCTGGCAGCGCAAGCCTCAGCAGGCCCTGGTTACCTGAGCCTCGGGCAGCCATAGCAGCTGGGCAGCTGCCATCCGAGGTTTGTTTTGCCTCGGGCCAGCCCTGGTGGGCTGGAGGGCTGAAGGGACTGGGGAACTCCTAAGGCAGGCGTGTGGCAAGGCTGAGTCCACCTGGGGATGGGCCCAGCCTTGCCAATGGGGGTGGAGCCGGCCGGGCCTGAATCTAGTGTGATTTCGAGGTGCACACAGGTGGGCAGGGACTTGACTCTGGATCCCGCGGCATGCCCCAGACTCTGACAGGAGACAGGTTTTCATACACATTTTACTAATTTTCTTTCATCTCTGACACTTCTAATATAGAGAAAAGGTAAATAGCAATATTAAAATATTTCCTCTAATGAATTCCTTTTTAATGTGCATGAATTTCGTGCACTGGGCCACTAGTAGGATAATAGTAATAGCTGAAAACTCAGAGCTTAGCATAAGCTAGACACCACTCTAGGCATATTATGTCTGTTAATCATTAAATCCTTATGATCCTGTGAGGTAGACATTGCTACATTTAATGGAATCCAAAATGTCATTAATTAAAAATGTGCCATTTAATGTAACACTAAGAAAGAAAATGCCAATTAACTTATAATAATGCTTTTTTTTTTAACTTTGACACATTTATTGCTGTTTACTAAAGACATTCATCTCAGCTATTTCTCCCATTGTGACCATATATTAATATTTCATTTGAGTCAAGAAAAGAATATGCAGCAGAAGGGATGTTATTTTAACATGTACAGTAAAATGGATGAAAATTAAGTTTGCCTACATTGTAGCAAGTTAAATTTGTGTGTATTGATGTAATTAAATCATATAAGTAAGAACTAATAGTTTTTGGGAAACCAAGATGGCGGTATAAGTCATATACCTATACATGCTGCCTCTCACAACCACACCAAAACTACAACTAAAAGACAGAACGACTATCACCCAGAACCACAGGAAAGCTGGCAGAGTAGCAGTTCTACAACTAGAAGTGAAGAAACTCATTGATACTGTGCAGGAGGTGCAGAGGCTCGGGAAAGAGGTATGGAAGCGCCCACAAACCAGAATGGGTGCACTGTTTTTTCCAATTGGAAGGGCCAATTGTGATACAAGCTCCCAACTCCTCTGAACCCAGGCTTAAACGGGGAGAAACTGAACTGTGGCATCATGTTGGAAAGTGAGGGTGGCTTTCTCACAGAGGTGCGTGCAGGAATCATTGTTTACTGCACTGGAGCATAGGACGTGGGACACAGAAACATGGAGACAGAGATGACAGCCATCGATCTGTCATGCCCTGTTTGCCATGCCCTAGTGATTCCCTGAGACCCCGCCTCACCCAATTTACAAACCCGCCTAAGCTGTGCACAGCAGCTTTTGCATATGAATGGTCTGCCCTCTCACAGCTTAACCTAACAAATTGCAGCTGGGTTAGACCTTTCTTTCCAAAACTTTCAAACCCCAAGCAAAGAGGAGAAATCTGCAGATCTCCCTATAGCTCCTGCTGGGTGGCCTCAGATAGTAGCTGACTTGCTCCTCCTTGGAGATCCAGGAACCAATGTACCTAGAGGTCAGTGTGAGACGATGCCAGATTACAACTCCTCACATACATAAGTGATACACTTAAGAGGCAGACTCAGTGACCACCAAAGCCCCACTGAAGCAAGTCCTGACCCATAAGGGTGTCTCCAGCACAGCAGTTCTTACATTATAGACACACCTGATCCTCACAGTCAGTTGGCCTGGAGGTCAATTCCTCCCAGTGTACCAACAGCAATCAAGGCTTAACTACAACAAGACTGTGCATCCAGCCCACAAAGGGGTGCACCAAGAGTGTCCACCTCAGGTGATTGGGAAAGCTGAGCCACTGGGCCCTATAGGTCACCTACCACACAAAGCCATTCCATCAATATAGGGAAGCAGCCAAAATGCAGAAACAAACATGTCATGAATGAAAGAAATGGAGGAAGCAAACTACTGGATATAGAGTTCAAAACTATAGTTATAAGGTTACTCAAGAATCTTCTAGAAACCTCTGAGGAACTTAGTGAAACCTTTAAGGATCTTAATGAGAATGCAAAAAAAAAAAAAAAAAAAATGGAAAAGGACCAGTCAGAAATTAAGCATTCCTGAACTTATA